AGCGGGATGTATCTCCAGCTAAGCATGATTCAGAACTCATTAGAGTCAATGGTATTGATTTCTGCAGGCTGTGGTTCAGCTCCTATGGGCAGTAGACCTGGGGTTAACGGCGACTGGAGATCTGTTCACAAGAAGGAGAGGTTATTTATGACAAAAGCAAAATAATTCACAATCTGTTTCCTTTGCTCTTTGTAGAACAGGTTCTGTTGGGGTGAGTTCACCCTAGGGCAGAGGGTCTATTTAAAGACCTGCTATAAGGAGTTGAGCCTCAGGTGAAAAGCTTGGGCAAAGGTTAAGTGATAGGGGGAAGTTTCAGCTTTGTACTTAGGAAAGCAAAGCTGCTATTGAATTCAGTCAGACTGTGAGCCCAAGGAAGAGTGGACATGGATTTCAAGTCTTTCAGAGCGTATTCTTGTTTGGCCTTGCCTTGCAGTCCAGAGGCAGGGTTGAAAAAAACCAACCCAAACTAAAATCGATTTGACTTTTTTCTATATATTCCTAAAACCTGCCAGCAGTTGATTTTTAGCTTGGGAGAGTGAGAACACAAGCCAAAGTGCTTTCTGTGCCTCTTACATGGGCTGCTGTGTAAACGACCAGAGCCCAACCAGCTTTGGTGTTGAGATCTGTGCCCGACTGCTCAGCAGGGCTTTGCTCACTCCTTTTGTTCAACACAAACCCGTTGCTTCTGGCGTGTAACCACGAGGAGGCAATGCTCCTGCCCTGCGCCTGCCGCGCATCACTTCGCCTTTGCCTGTGCAACAAAGAGCTTGGTGCTCCCTGGCATTTTCCTCTATGTGAAATCTAAGGTGGGAGGTGAACAACCCTACTAGATAATCCTCTTTGTGGGCTTCTCCTGACCGTTAGAGGGGATCTTCATTTAAGACAATGGGAGGTCCCAACCTGAATCTGTCCTTGGGTCTGGGGTGCATCCAAACCAGAGGAAGGAGGTTTGACCGCCGCTTGGGGCTGTGTACTTGCTCCAGCTTCGGTCTGTCTGGTAAAGGTGGAGGAGTACCGGCTTTGGCTAGTGATCCAGGAGTATACTAGGTGTGTGCTGGGCAACCCAACTGCTGTTACTACCAGTGTGCAATAATGCCTTCACTTGGTGTATGTACATGGCAAGGGTGTGCAAGCTCTGTTAATTTATAGGCACCAGTGTTTTTTCCAGTTGACACCTGCATGCAAGTTGAATAAAACCAAACCTGTTGTTTGTCCGTATACTTACCTTGCAGATCCTGAAACACACCCAACAAAGGCCATGGAATCTACAGACTGAAAGTGTGTTTTAAGGGCTTTAAATACCTGATCGTTATTCATTTTAAGGATATTTCTGTAACAGGATCCCTCTAAGTGACTCTCAGCATTAACCTCTGTAGGTGTTTCACCATAGCTTCATCTCTTTCAAAGTGTTTCTGTGTCTAGCTCCACTTTCAGAGAAAGAATGCAGAGAAAGAACGTAAACCTGAGGGTTTTGCTCATGCAGTGTAATCCCTGAAGCCTATGTCTTTTCAGATAGTTCCTTGAATATAAGAAATCATGTGGGGCGTGATAGGGGGAGACACTTTCTTGAAGATATGCTTAAACTTACTGGCTGTCGTTTTGGGGATGCTGTCCTAACAGGCTTGTTTTTCAAAGTGCTGTGAGCTTAGCAGCTCCCTCTGACCTCCACCTTGATGCTGTTGGAAAAATCCAGGCAGGAGTTCAGGAGGCTTGAATTTGGCATCCTTTTTAAAAAAATTATTGGCCACTGGACTGACTGTTTCTTTTTCGACCAAACGAGAATGTCTCCTCCCAAGGCTCGTGCTACTCGTGCTGCAGCATCAGCATTCTCGCCGTTCTGTCAGCAGTTGTATGGCTGCAAGGGGAGAAATGTACCCGGGACAGTAATTCCTCCCCTAGGGTGTGAACCTGCTGCGTATTTATATTTATTGACTATCTTCAAGCATTCGCCCTGCCCCCTGTTCTCTTGCTGGGGCAGCATTTGCAGAAGGCAGAGACAGATGCTCTTAAATAATTTTTCATGGCCTTTTTTGCCGAAATCCATCCATGTAACAGGAATAATAGCCATCACCGGTGACAAGCCTTTGACCTGTCTTTTTGTGTCTCTGAATTTCATTTCTTCTGTATTCAAAAAGCAGAAAAAAAGCAGCCTTTTTTCTGGTAGGACCAAAGGGGAAAAGGCTAGCGGTTCATTTGTTTTCCTAGGCGTAGACAGAGTGCTTTGGCTGTAATTGTTACGTGTCTCTGCAATGGTAATGCTAAAAGATATGCAGCTCTTCAGGGACCATACTGTTTCACTGAAATTTTAAATGAGGCCAACTGGGGACCCGTTGGTCTCGTAGGCATGCTTCAGTATAATCCAGCAGGAAATGCCTCCATTCTGGCAGTAAAAATACTAATTTTACATAACACAAAAGTGCATGAAAGCTATTGTCATGGCTGAAAAAAAAACATCCGGCATCTCTTTTGTGGTGAAGGCTGCAGAAGGCTTATCATGTGGTCCATTGTTCTTTATTTTGAATGCATCTGGAGGCTTGAGAAGTAATTTCTCTGGTGACAAATTCCTGCCATCCAACCCAAGAAAGAAAAAAATAGATGTAACTGCTCTTTTCAATGCTTTTCCCACCCCAAGCTCCTGCCTCTCGCCTTCCCTGGCCTCCCCCCTCTCTGAGCGGCCAAGGCCGCGCGCTTACACAGACTAATCAAGAGTTCTGCAAATCTGGAGGGTCCCTTGTGTTCACAGCCTGTCCCTGTTGGTTTAACAGAAAATAATGTTTTGTCCTGGCCAGCTGAGCAGGCATAATTAACAGTACGCTGGATGAATGCTTTTGTACCTCGGGGACTACTTGGAGCTCTGTCCCGACGCACTGGTGTCTGCCTGCCCTCTGCGAGGCGGCTCTAGCCGGGGCACACACCGTCAGGGTGGCACAGAGCCGGGTTTGGGGTGCTGCTACACGTGGTGGGGTTGGCGGCAGCTCAGCCGTCCCCGACGCTGCCTGGGAGGGCTCCTGATGAGCTGGGGCCAGCGTCCGTGCTCCGGCTCAAGCTGCTGCCGTGTTTGGTGGGATGGAGCAAATGGCAGAAAGGAGAGATGGGACAGGGCTGGTAGTCGTGAGGGTAGGAGGAAGGAAGAGGGAAAGGGAGGAGGAGGATGCGAAGGGAAAGAAAGCGTGAATAGAAGAAAGGAAGGGGATGAAAAGAGAGCATTGCAAATATGAAGGAAGGGGCAGGCTGTCTTGCCTTTCCCCATCCTTTCCTTTCTCCACTTGGGATGCTCTGCCTAATCCTCACAAATAGCAAAGTCTGAGCCTTCCCCTCCTGTGGCATTTGTCCCCCTTTTGCACTGTGCAAATCCGTTTGTCCTGTAAATGTGTATTTGAATGTAAACAGTGCATCTGCTCAT